ATAATGTGGTACCTTCACATGCGTCTTGATATTCTTACGCTCGTTACGGATCACTTTTTTCTTGTTTGCCTTCTCCTTTTTTTCTTCTTGTTGCTAAGCCGATAATAAATGCGATTGTTAATACAAACTATAAGTTAGTAATTTCTAAGTCCACATACTTTCAATTTTGCTTCAGCTTCGGCTTGCTCCTTCTTTAGCCTCTCTTCTTCAGCAGCCTTTGTCAAATTGATATTATGTTAACTATTTATTTTATAATTTTTGTGCAAAATTTAAAATTAATAAATCTGTTGTACTTTTTGAGCTGCTTCTTTTGCATTTTTGATTGCGTCTTCTTTTTCTTTTTTCTTTGCCTCTTTAGCCGCCTTTTCCTCTTGTTTAAATTTCTGAATGCGCGGATCTAAAGATAATGCCTGATCTTATCGATTCAATCGAAAATTATTTATTAGATAATATTTCACAATTGAGAATAAACCCGTGAGAAAACTACCCACCGATAATTTTTCTCAACCGTATCGTGTCTTCCTTTTTATATTTTGCTCTTTCAGCCTTGTTCTTACGTTCAATATACCGCTTATCGTCTCGGCTTTTAATAACAAATAAACAGGCAATCGAGGCATATGACGATAAAGAGGAAAAAGATAACTATTTAAATTTTATATCCAATTATGTCGAGCAATTTAAGCAAATAGACTTCCTTTCTGCAAAGCTTTATTCGGAAAACATGAAAATGATATGCACTTGTCCGTATTGTCTGTATCCTCCTTGTCATAATATTCAAATGATCTCCAAGAATCAAAATTATACCTAATATTTAAAGCGCGTTAACGATAGTTTTATGGTGAAGAAATAGATCATAAAAATAGGTATAATACCAGAAATCGTAAAATGCCTGTACTTCTGATTTGGTAGTATTTATATCTCCAAGCATTGGCACCGGTGTTTTATTTGAAAATCTATCAATTATAAATAAAAGTAATGAAAATATGTTATCATATAAAAATAAATAATTCAAGTTTACCTAGCCTCCCGTTGAAATACTGGACCATATAATTCAAAAAAGTCTCCTTTAGCTTTTGCGCTTGGTGAAGTATCATCGATGGCTTCATCAACCGAATCAAATTGTCGACGTCTTACAGGATCAGAAAGTATTTCATATGCTGTATAAAAATAAGAACATGTAAGGTTTATTAAATATTTAATATTAAATACTTTATGCATTAATAAATCACTTAAATACCTTTCTGAATGCATTTGAAAAACCCATCATCATTGGTGTTTCCGCTCGATGCTTTTTTGTCTGGGTGATGTTTGAGTACTTTCTTCCTATCTAAACACATTATTATTACAATTTATTATGAGAATTCAATCAATTCAAATAGATCAGATTATATATAATTATTTTGGATCGAAAATTACGTACGTGCTTGTTTGATCTGTTCATCAGTTGCTTTCCACCTATATTTTGAGAGCCCCAAAATTGCATAATGGTCTTGTTCCTAATACCAAATTTGTTGGTTAACAATAATAGCATTGATTAACTTGAATTTGATTTGTATGAATATAAAGCGGTAGTAATAACTTATGAAAAAAATTATTTATTGAATTCTACCATCTACCTTCCAATCCTTGGGATCTCGTGACAATAATTCAGGTGTCTCTTCTTCAAAGTCTTCATCTTGAATGACTTCTAATTGTTTTGCATTGGCCTCAGCTTGAATACGTTCGTCTTCAGAAAAGCTATGATTATTAAGCTTTCGACGAGCATGTGCGAGAAAATAACGACCAACAGGTTCGATATTTCTAATAACACCCTCTACAGAACATAAAATTGGTATAGGACTTTGGATCTATATGAGCATATACGCATTTTCAAGATGAATCTAACAAATACCTGAAAGTCCACAATGAATTTTGAAAGATAAACTTTCGTCCCACGACGAAGGAGGAACGCCGAGAACAAGGTGTGGCTGAGACATTTCGTGCATAAATCCAAGAATCAGAGAACTTTTATTCAACTGCTTTAGATCGTCCTCGAGTAGATCTGAGAATAATGGGTTTTCAAATGATATCGATATAATTTTGACAATTCCGATTCACAAGTCATCATAAATAGATCTGTCGTCACGAAATTATGAATCATGTGTATTTTTTGCGCCAGAATTATGGAATTATGAGCTATAATTTAGGTGCAATTTAGGTGCAATTTAACTGATTAGCCTACTCATCGCCGCAGATTGCGCCAATTTTCAAAACATATTTGCATATAGTATGACCTTTTCTAACCTTAGATACAACCAGTAACAAATTGATTTTTAAAAATTTTAATGTTTTAGGGCAGAATAATTTGAATAATTTACCGTAAGTTATTCTTAAGTAATCCGTTCCATGAATAAAAATTTTTAAAAAATTCACTATATCGAAAGTTTTATTAATAAATTCACTGTGTATTGAGAATTTTATATAGACAGATTTTGAGCTTCACTATCTCGAAATTTTTATGTCTTCATATCGAGAGTTCACTATAACAAGAGTGAGTTGTATAGTATTATATTCATTTAATAGAGCCTATTAATTCGTTCACAAGTAACAATGCTTAATTCATTTAAATGAAAAAACATAAAAGCGTGAAGAAAATGCTATACAACTAGAAAGTTCAAACATTCATAGTTAGAAATGAATGTAATCATCCCATTATGGCAGATAAATATTAATACATATTTGGGCCAGTGAAATTGACGAATGTTTCTATATTCATCATAAAAAAAGACGTAACCAAAACCAAGACTATTTGATTTATTTACAGATGCAACTGTCAGAGATATATAGAAAAAAAATATAGAAGATCGCGGAAGAATTTAAACAATGTATATACTAACAGCCTGTTATGTTTTTTATTTACATGTGGATGACTTTTGCTAAAAAAACTTTCAATCTTTTCTTAATGAAAGAAATGGCTTAGAAGTACAAATCAAAAAAAAAAAAAAAATTCTTATATTTATGTGTCGTTTTTATTGTATCTACTCATTTAGGTTTTATTGTATCTTCTCATTTAGCTTATAATGATTGTAAATTACAATGCTGAACAGGCATGATTATTAATCAAAATAAACAAATCAATCGTACATATTAAACCATCGGAACTATGAAGTTAACTGAGTTTAAAACGTGACTAATTTTTTGGTGACGCTTGGTTCGTGTTGAATGTCGGTGAATCATACTGTCGGTGAATTGATTGTCGATGAAATGAACGGATGTTAGACCCATTGTTAAATAACAGCTTAGATTTTTTAACAGTTACAACATACATTATTTTAAAAATATTCACCTTGTTTCTCTTGAGATGCACATAATAAATAAAACTTGTTGCCCGTTTAGATTACTAATACTAAAAAAATAACAAAATTTTTTTTTTTGTAAGATAAACTCTGTAAGCAATTCAGTTAGCCAGAAACTTACTTTTTTAAGAAACAATTTCCATAAGACAACTCACACCCGACGATAGTCAAAATTGACTGGCGTAGCCGTTTCCAGGGCTCATGTTCCCTGAATGTGAATATATGGTACTATAAGTGAAACCCAAAACCTCCTTAAGGGACAAATTTGTTGGTACCTGAGGTATTAGTCATCGTTCGGAAGCGGTTCACTTTTTCCATCCATCTTTCGCATCGATCTTCCAAGGTCACATTGTCTACCCCTTTGATGGTTCTCGGGTTAATTGTTTTAGCTTATTGTCATAAACTTGCGCATGATATTCTTTTTTATTGGCGGCACGAAAGTAAGTATCGGTTATCTTTTCTTCTTTAACTTCACTGAGAATATCCTTGAACATTCGAACTAATGTTTCTTTCAATTGGTTGTTCTTCATTTTGTAAACTAGGTAATTTTTAAGTTTATATATCGATGATATTATGATTTTGGTTTAGGGAAGTTCAATCTCACAGTCACCACCAAATGTGGGAGTGCGAATAATGCACCGGTCCAAATAATACAACTACACAGCATCCTTATAATAGCCAAAAGCACCATGTTTCTGAAAAAGCAGCGAAGCTGGCCAAGAATCCAGAAAAATATACTTACTTTTTTCGTAAATATAATCTCAAACATCTGCTAGATCATCAAGTTGCGTTTCTAACAAGTTGTTTATGCTCGTTGAGATACTAATATTAAAAAAAAAAAAAACTTAGTGAGATAAACTCTGTAAGCAATTCAAATGTATCTAGTTAGCCGGAAGCTTACTTTTTTTAGAAACAATTTCCATAAAACAACTCACACCCGACGATAGTCAAAATTGACTGGCGTAGCCGTTTCCAGGGCTCATGTTCCCTGAATGTGAATATGTCTTATGGTATTATAAGTGAAACCCAAAACCTCCTTCGGAATTGGCATCCTTATAATAGCCAAAGGCACCATGTTTCTTAAAAAGCAGCGAAGCTGGCCAGTAAATTACTTACTTTTTTCTCGTAGGTATAATCTCAAACATCTGCTAAATCGTCAAGTTACGTTTCTAACAAGTTGTTTACGCTTGTTGAGATTACTAATATTAAAAAAAAAAAAAACTTAGTGAGATAAACTCTGTAAGCAATTCAAATGTATCTAGTTAGCCGGAAGCTTACTTTTTTT